ACTTCCAGGTTCTGGAAGAAATTTCATGAGGAGTTAGGCACCCGGTTGCTTTTCAGCACCGCTTACCACCCACACACCGACGGGCATATCGAGCGGACGATACAAACGCTTGAGGACATGCTACGTGCATATGTTATGGACTTCGGAGGAAGTTGGGAGACTTACTTGCCCTTGGCTGAGTTTTCATACAACAACATCCATCATTCCAGTATTGGTATGCCTCCCTTTGAGCTCTTATATGGGAGGAGGTGTCAGACTCCCATCTGTTGGGGAGAGGTAGGGCAGAGAGTGATGGAGAGCACTAAGATAATGCTCAAGATGACATAGCAGATCCAACAGGTCAGACAGGGGTTAATGACAGTCCAAAGTCGTCAGAAGAGTTACGACGACCGGCGCCGTTTAGAGCTGGAGTTTCAGGTCGGAGATTTTGTCCTCCTGAAGGTATCCCCATGGAAAGGGGTGATCTGATTCAGGAAGCGGGGTAAGTTGGGCCCTAGATACATCGGTCCTTTTAGAGTTATCGCTTGAGTGGGTAAGGTAGCTTATCGGTTGGAGATGTCTGCGTAGTTGAGTCAGATTCATAACACCTTCCATGTGTCCCCAACTACGGAAGTGTGTAGCAGATGAGACAACGGTGGTTCCCTTAGAGGACATTCAGGTTGATGAGCGCCTGAATTACGTTGAGAAGACGGTATCGATCTTGAATAGGAAGGTGAAGGTTTTGAGGAATAAAGAGGTGCCTTTGGTTCAGGTTCAGTGGCAACATCAGAAGGGATCTGAGTGGACTTGGGAGCCGGAGTCTGAGATGCGGGAGCAGTACACAGAGTTGTTTCCAGAGGATGACTTTGAGGACGAAGTCTGATTCTAATGGGGGATAATTGTAACATCCCGACTCCCAGGTATAATATTTAATTAAATTACATTTATATTGTAAGAGCAACTCGACGAGTTGGAGCCCCAACTCGCCGAGTAGAGGAGTTAATGGCCGCGTGATTTCTAGAGTCTACTTGACGAGTTGGAGGACCCAAACTCGATGAGTAGGTTCTGAGTGAGAAAACCTTAATTTTCAGGGTTTGTGTCCTATTTAAAGGAACTTAAGCCCTCATTTCCGCCTCCCTTATCATCCCAACCCTCTATTAGAAACCCTAATCGTGTGTATCCATTATGAGAGAGAGAGAGAGAGAAGCTAACTTTGGGTGTTTTAGTGCACATTTGGAAGAGGAGTGAAGAGCATCAAGCCTTGGAACGAGAAGAGGCTTGTGTATCAAGTGTTTCTCTGTGCTAGCTTCAATTTGGAGGTAAAAAGCTACCACTTTGATCATGTCTTTGATAGATCTCTTTCTAGGGAGTTTTAGGGCTTTTCCCCCTTATCTTGTGGTTCTTGAGTTGCTGGAGCTTGCCATGGGGTTGAGACTCCAGATCTGGACAAAATAAGGTCCCATGAGCCCAAAGATCCAAGCTTTATCAAGCTTTGGGCAAGTTTCCATGCATGAAACCTTTATGGAGCTTGTTTTGGCATTTTGAGCCCTAGATGCCATGCATGAACGTAAAGCTTGCAGATTTACGTGATGATTCAGTCTTAGAAGGCTAGATCCAGAGTATGAGACCTTATTTCTGCCTAAAATCGTTTGAATAAGAAAATGCACTGAAGGGACTTGACGAGTTGGTGAGCCGACTCGACGAGTCGGTTAGAGTTTTCCCCGATGAGTCTGGACGCGCTGTAACTCAGCGAGTTGAGGAGACAACTCGATGAGTTAAGTTGGATTTTCACGACATTTATGAGGAAACAAGGGAACTCGACGAGTCGCATAAATGCACTCGACGAGTTGGGTCAACATGGACTGTTGACTCGAGTGTTGACTTCTGTTAACTTTAGGGTTGGTCAAGACATGGATTATGGAGACCATGGAATGGTAGAATGGCCTTTTACCCATTCCAAGAGTTAGAGTGAGGGGTTAGCTTAATTTATTTAGAGTTGTGGTTATAAGTGTTAATTAGAGATAATTATGGTATGTAGGCGGGGATTAGACTGTTCGAGGGGTACGAGGCTTACTTGCTTACTTACGAGGTGAGTCTTCTCACTATACTTACCTGAGTGGTAACATTGTGTGACCAGAGGGTCTTCTATGCTTATCTTGAGTTATGTGATATCATGCATTATGTCTTTGTGATTTATGTTGTGTATTATCCCGAACTTTATTGAGTTAGGACCGGAGGGTTCAACCCGAGTTGTGGGACTAGAGGGTCTCCACTGAGACACATTGACAGGATGGTCTTTATCGAGATATAGCCATGAGAGGCTAATGAGATGTGTGTGGTGTTTTGGGGAACTCACTAAGCTTTGTGCTTACCGTGTTATGTGATATGTGTTTCAGGTACTTCTCAGGATCGCGGGAAGGCAACGACTTGATTGTACACACGAGATGGAGTTTATGTTTTGAGGATCCTGGATTTTATCAAACAATTTATGAATTTGTGTTTTTGACACTTGAAGTTTTTGAAAATGAATTTGTGATATTGAGAATTATGTGATTTTTTGAAAATGAAAATTTTGTTTGAAAATTTACGGTGTTACAAGAAGCTTCTGTATGTTTCTAGAACATTTTACCATTTTTAGAGAAGTATAGGATGTTCCAATGTTTTCTATGATGTTTCATAACCTTCTAGGGTCTTCCATGACATTTTCGAATATTCCATGGTCTTCCCATATGTTCTGGAATCTTTCATTTTCTTCCACTATATTCTTTCCAGCGCATTCTAGAAAAATATATTGCTTTCTAGATAATAGGAGTCGTTACATTGGGCTAGTTATGACCTTTTAACATACCATAAAAAATATATTGCACATAAATTAAGACTGGAAAATTGTTAGGAAGTAATGTGGAAAAAACACTGGACCAAAATCACACAAGACACAATATTTATGTGGTTTGGTTAAGGTGACCTACGTCGACAAGCAGGATGGGAGTATTCTTTATTTATGAGCTCTCAAAAAGAATTTACAAGTACAATTCAACAAAGATTCGCCAACTCACTAGAATTCAAGACACAAACAAATGACTACCATACATCCCTATTTATAGATTAGGGATCAGACCTACAACCCTAATGGGCCAAGCCAATTAATATATAGGCTCATGATAGGTGTCAACCAATCACAATCCGCCATGTAGTAGATGTTGGAACCTTCATCCTTGAGATACATCACATGAGCATCAACAACATCACACATGATGGAGCATCATGATCCATAGTGGCTCACTATGATGCAAGAGTGACACATCAAGATCACCATGGCTTATCAACCATCATGGTGATGCATCATGCAATAATCATTGAGCATATTCAACATCTGATCATCCTTGGACAATCTTGAACATCATAGTGAGCATCATAGCATAACTGGCTCATCAAGGGATACCATGGCTCACCAAGAACACATATGGCGCACCTTTGTACCAAGATGACCCATCATGCATAAGGATGACACATCTTATGCGTAAGTGGCACATCCTCTTCATGAGTGGCGCATCAAGCTTCCAAGCTGGTAGACCAACTTTAAAAATGGTGCACCCTCCTTCTAGATGTCATATCTAGTTTCCAAAGTGGTGCACCCTCTCCATAGTGGCACATCTAGCTTCCAAAGTGGCACATCTTCATCGTGGATCATCAGAAGATGCTTCATTCCCTTCTCAGGTACTCCGTTTCTTTCTCAGATGGTATGTTCCTTTCATAGATAACCTATTCCCTTTGTTAGATGCTCAATTCCACTCCAAGTGCTCAATTAAACCTAAATGTTCCACAAGATTGCCCCAAATGCTCAAGTTACATTTAACAAAAATAAATTACTTAAAACGACCGGCCTACAAAAAATGTATGGTATAAATTTTGATATATTTACTTACAAAGTAGTTAATCAAAAGTTTAATTGCTCAAAGTCAAATGGCTTAATCAAATAATTAGTTAAAGGAAACAAGTTAGATTTGTCAAAAGAATCGAAAATTGTTCAAAAGATATTTCTATGTGCACCCAATTTAAATCACAATAATAAAGAAATTAAATTACTTAATCAAATACAACACTAATTATTTTGAAATTTACAAAAAGATTTTCAAACAAATAATTTTTTTAAAAAGATATATATATTTTGTTTTGTTTTGTTTTTTTTTTTGAAACAGGGATTATATTAAAGAAAGCAAAAAACAAAAACCTGCCAATGAAAAAGAAGGCAGTGAGAACAAGAAAAACATTTTTCAAGATACTAAAAGCACAACAACACCATTTTGACCAATTAAACCACCAAACTTATCCTTATATTTGACTGACTAAACACCAATAAAATAGGGATCGACTAAAAAGATATCTCATTTTACCATTTAGACACATTGTCTAATTATTAAATTATTTTTATTAGGTGAAAATGTATTGTTTTCCGAAAAAGTTAATTACACATGATTAATGATAGGTTGACTTTTGTTAAAGGATGTTCACGTTTTGACTAGTTAATTACACATAAAATAAAAAGATGTACAGGTTTTAACTTAGTTAATTATCTGGTTAATCGATTTTGCCACATCTAGTGTCTTATTTATGACCACTTTGCTGTAAATTTCGAGATGACCACCATATTAGAAGCCTAGTCACTTAATACGAGACACAACGCATGTTTTTGATTAATATTTCAACCCGCAAAATATTATTCATTTTGACCATTTCTCTAACTCACTTATCTATTCTACCATGTCCAGTGTCGTATGAACACTTTGTTCTAGTGTTCTAGACCTTCAAGATGGCCATAGTAGAGGTCTAATTAGTCATTCAATACAAACCGTGGTTGCAACGAAATCTTGGTCCAGACACAGGGGTAATGTTAATCAAATGGTCCAAGAACCATGGACCCTCGTTTTAAACTATGATTTGTTTTGTCCTAGTGCGGTAGTGCCAATGTTTTTTTTTTCCTATATAAAAAGGACACTCAATGGGGCTTCAAGGAGACAAATATGGCCTATACAATTACCATTAAACTTATCGTTTTTCTGTATTTAACCTTGATCTCTGAAACTACACGTAATGTAAATTCGATCAGTAGTCTAGATGAGTTATCCTCTTCACCGATTAATCAAGTTGGCATATGTAGCTTATTGATTGAGACGCAAGGCTACACATGCGAAGAACACAAGGTATGTGTTTACTCGGTTTATATATGAGGTGATAAAATCTAAAGATAAGTTATCTGGTATATATTGGTCACAAATTTGGTTTTGACTCGTTAACACTTATTTTGTCCATCCGTTATCGGGAATAACTAATGTATTAAATATAATTACAGAAACGATTAGTTTAAGTAATTAAAACAATTTAGAAAGTTGTAACCCTTGAATATATACTACTACAGTTCAAAAAAAAAACATGACTTGTTTGAACTATTCTTTTATTCATTTAGCTATATTTTTCGTTTTACTCATTGGGCCTATTACTAATAAATGCACTGAAATCGGTTCCTGTTTACATACTTCGGTTGAAATTGTATAATGTTCTTTTGTTTTTTTAGGTGACAACAAAAGATGGTTATATACTTAGCATGCAACGGATTCCTACTGGACAGGGAGGTAAAAAGTCAGACAAGCCCCCGGTTTTATTACAACACGGGGTTCTTATGGTAATTTTGCAACCTATACGTGAATACATTAATGACATCTTTAACGAAAACATTAAATACTTCAGTGAATTGAGTAGTTTTTGTTTTGGTATACGACAGGATGGTGGGACATGGGTTTTAAACTCTCCTGATGAATCTCTTGGATTCATTTTGGCAGATAACGGTTTTGATGTGTGGATTGCGAACACTCGCGGAACCAATTATAGTCGTGGCCATACATCACTTAATCCTAGTGATCCAGTATATATGTTTCCTTTATGATCATGACACGTTTTCTGCTTTGTAAATCAGTTTTGTGATTATTTATGGACTTTTAAAAAAAACTGTGTATTAATTTTCAGGCTTATTGGGAATGGTCGTGGGACGAATTAGTAGCTTTTGATCTCCCTGCTTCGATCCAATTTGTGCATGATCAAACAGGCCAAAACATGCATTATGTTGGTCATTCCTTGGTAATAATATCGCACCAAATAGTGTAGCTAATTTATATTTTTCAAATTAATTTTGCTACGAGTCATCCGTTAGTATATTTATTTAAATGTGATTCAAGACTACACGATCCAAATAGATATCGACCCGACCCGGCAAAAGTAAAGAATAAGTGTTTAAAACAGGGACGTAGCCAATATAGGGCAAGAGTGGGTCTTGGCCCACCAAACAAAGACATAGACAATAATGTATTCTGTCCTACTAATTTCAAATTTTGAATGGAATAGGCCATATCACAACCCCAATTCCTTTTATATATATATATATATATATATATATATATATATATATATTATATATATATATATATATCTATATATTATATGTCGATTAGACTCTATTTTAGATTATTTTAATGATGTAAGACACCATTGTGTGCATCTTAAAATAAACAATTTAGTTAAAAATGCATATATATTTACATTTTGTTATCATTTGAAGAATTTTGTCACTCGTTCATATTTTGTATATTATTTGACCTACTCTAAAACAAAATCATGGCTACGCCACTGGTTTAAAATAGGCTAAGTGTTTGAAGTAGGGTGTGGTGGGCAGATTCCCCTGAAGTAAGGAGCTACGTTAATCTATGTAGTTGGGTCAACTCTGTTCTAGTTAATTAAGATTATATTTTATAGTTTGCATATATAATATGGTTGAAACCTAAGGTTTCAATTGTAGTATTGGTTTTTTAAGGTCACGAAAAAGAATAGTATCTATACATATATTTCATATTAACTGAAACATGTTAAATATTGTGCTTTTATGTTTTTTTTATGTATAGGATTTATTGTCTCGTTTATTCTTAACAATTTGTGTTTTAACGTGTCCAATTATCATTTCTCAGGGAACTTTGATTGCTTTTTCTGCCTTTTCAAAAGACCAAACATTGGACATGTTAAGATCGGCTGTTTTGCTTAGCCCTATCGCGTATTTAGGCCAAATATCTTCAACTCTCGCAAGAGCCGGTGCAGATGCTTTCTTAGGCGAAGTAAATCTCTTCTGTTTCATAATACGAAAGTTTGAAATAACCAATGGTTGTTGGTTACAAAATCCAACTTTAGCTCTTTCTTCTTTACTAATATAATTTTTAGTTTCTTGCTAGTTTTTATTATTAAGATTTTATGTCAATAAAAAAATGTTTCATTGTTATAAAACAGTGTCCCCGAATAATGTTGTATTCTTTTATGACAGGCCTTATATTGGTTGGGTCTCCATGAATTTGCTCCAAGAGGGTATTCATCGTTCTCAATTTCATAGTTTTAATCATTTCCTAACGGGTGTCATTTTGTCGCAATAAACATACTTTCTTGAATTGAAATAAACAAAATGGTATCTTGCTTGCCCAATTCTACAGGAAAGCTGTTGTTGATCTTCTTAGTGTTATATGCAAAATGCCTGGCAACGATTGCAGCGATTTGATGACATCATTTACTGGTATTTTTGTAGCTTGATTAAAAATATTTTGTGTAAAAAACAAATTGACAACAATTTGTGTTTGTGGTGATGTAGGGCAAAACTGTTGTGTGAACTCTTCTATGACGGATAAGTTTCTTGAACACGAACCTCAGTCGACCGCAGCTAAGAACATGATCCATCTTGCTCAAAGTAAAACATTTTATCTGCTAAATATGGTTTTATATATAGTTATACTTAATATATTAATATTTATGATAAGAAAGAAAATATAATACTGATGGGGTCAACCCCATTTTATTCATAGTACTTAATTTAAATGTCCAAACCATTCACGAACGACCTACACTCATGGATACAAATAGGTGCGAATATTGATAGTGGCACATCGGTCGGTCGCAGACTCATTTTGTTTAAAGTTTAAGGCTAAATGCAAAAGGAATATTATAGCATTTTTATGTGATTTTACAAATTCATACAACATATTATCTCAACCATTTAATGAGTATTAATTAACTTATTAGTTTTATTACCATCTTAGGTAAATCATCTTACATATATGTGCTCACACATACACTAATATACACATGTCCTATCATCAGGTTTCATTTAATATTAATAAAAAATAGCAAAATTTTCATTTGTCATATTCTATTGTTCAAAAGTCACACTCTACACCACCCACACACATATTAGGTTTTGAACCTAGGACCTTTATTATGTAACTACATAGGGCTTGCTATTACATGATATTGTTAGAAAAAAATATTTTAATTTGTGTGGATCAATAAAATTATGAAAGTATTTTGCATTACTATAAAACTTTTTTTTTTTGGAACAACAAATCTAATCTACTCCTAAACTCCCACCTATGTCTCTCACGAGACTTGAACCCTCAATCTCAATGAGGGAAGAAAACACTAGATACCGCTAGGCTAGAAGCCCTTTGGTATTACTATATAACTAACCCAAATTTTGATCTCTAACTTCAGTTTAATAGTCATAAAATAGTTGTATCATACACTTAAATACTATTTAAGACTCGTTTATTTATAACTCTTATTGAAAATCCGTGTAGTGATCCGAACAGGAACTATAACAATGTATGATTACGGAAATGTTAATGATAATGAGAAGCACTACGGACAATCCACGCCTCCGGTTTATGACATGGAAAGCATCCCGAAAGATTTCCCAATGTACCTCGGTTATGGAGGGGCAGATGAGTTGGCTGATGTGCAAGACGTCAACACACTGCTCAAAAGCGTTAAGGATCATGATCCGGATAAGCTTGTTGTACAATACCAGGAGGACTATGCACATGCTGATTTTGTTTTTGCTGTGAATGCGAAAAAAGTTGTGTATGATCCTGTCATGGCATTTTTGAACCTCAATTAAAAAAACGTGACATCCGTGTATTTTAATGAATGAATTTATGTTTGTACATTAAGTTTCATAACCATGTGAATGTATCAATATAGCAAAATTTTCAATTGTCAGATTTTAAATTTAGATGTTTGATAGTTTATAATTGCATATGTTTTAATTTACAAATGATGACATATTTTTTGTATATCGATTTGGTTGAAGGATAAATTGTATGTAATAGAACATGTTTTAGTTTAAATTTTGTATTTTCAAGATTTATGAACATTTTACGTATATTTATGTTTAAAAAAATGACAAAAATAATGGAGTGTGACTTTTAACAAAATGTTCATTTTTCAAACTTTTTTTTCAAAATGGTTGTATATTTCACAGTGGAACCACTATGAAATGTGAACATGAAAAGAACAAAAAAAATGTCCACTATAAACTTTTTCTAAATTTTTACAAGAAATGTATTTCAAATTAAAGATTTTTTAACCTTAAGAGCATCTACAATTATGAGAGAATCCACAATGGGGAGTTTAATGTAAAAGTTGAATGAGGTGTCATCCCTATTTGTCATTCAATAGATACAACTCCACCATTGTGAAATGCCACCTTGGCATTCAATGGATTTGAAGTTCAATCACCATTGAACTCTTCAACGGAAAAATGAAGGTTTTAAAATCTTTAAATAAATATTTTTTTTTCATATATTCCATTGAACTTGTAGAGTTTAATGCATTGTGTGATAAAAATGATTAGAATTGTATGGAATAGTGAATGATGATGTAGCACTCCATTAAACTCTATATAATTCAATACATAGTGGATGCCTTGAGTTCAATTCAATAAGAGGGTTTAATGAGGTAGCAAACCTATTTGCCATTTAATGGATTAAAATCTATCATAATGATATGCCACATAGACATTCAATAAATTTAGAGTTCAATAACCATTAAACTCTTCAATGGTAAAATGAAAGTTTGTAATATATATTATATATATATATATATATATATATATATATATATATATATATACTATAAATTAGCTTTTAGAATTTTGTATTGAACTTTGTAGAGGACAATGCATTGTAAAAAAAATTGATAAAGTTGTATGGAATGTAAAAAAAATAATATGACAATCCATTCAACTTTGTAAAATTCAATACACAGTAAATGCCCTAAGTTGCAAACTTTGGTCTCTTCAAGTTTCCTAACATTCAACTAACTCTCCAAAAACTATCTCCTAGTCTTTTCTATATACAATAAATTTGTTGATTTATTTGTGAAATGTGTATTTTAAAAATTTGCATTGCATTTGCAATCCAAATTAGAAATTTCATACTAGAGGTTTTATGAAATGATTAAGATTTTTATGTAAGTTTGATGTAAATGTTGTTCGTTTCGTATCATTGAACTTTGTTCGTGGCCGTTAAAGATACTTTTATTGAAAATATACATAAATTTGGCACCGTCAAACTCTCATTTTAGCAATGCAAAACTTCCAATTTCAAATTTTTGGTTGAAATTTACTATGCTAAACTCTAACCTTTACATTGTGTAAGTAGGTTTAAATTTGGCATTGTAAAACTACCAATTTCACATTGTCTTGAAATTTTCAGGTAAATTTGGAAACTCTATTATTATTATTATTATTATTATTATTATTATTATTATTATTATTATTGCATTGCTAATCTCTTTAGTTTAAATATGATAATGCAAAACTTCAATTTGGCAAGGCAAGCTTAAATTTCACATTATGTTGCAAAGCTTTCAATTATGCCTTAAATAAATAGGTAAAATTGGATGGTTTCGTAATGGGTATAAATTTGCGTAACATGTGCGTTTTTGTTTTTAATTTGCTTTACAATGGTCTAGTTTAGTTTTTTTTTTTGGCTTTTGACTTAAAAGTCCTTAAGTTTGTCAGATTTTGTTGTTTTGTCCCTATGACGATTTTTTGTTCGTTTAATATCCAAAATATTCCAAGTTTTTTTTTTCATTTTTGCCCTTGCTACCTATAATAGTAGGTGTCTAGGGACAAAACTGACAAAGTTTAACAAACTTAAGGACTTTAATGTAAAATTTGGAAAACATACTTAGGATAAAAATATATAAGATTTATAAACTTGAGAGTTTTTTTTGCAAATTTGAAAAACATATTTAAGGTAAAAACATCAAAGATTTGTAAAAAGGACAAAAGTGAAAAACTTGGCAAATTTTGGACATTAACGAACAATAAATCGTCACAGGAACAAAACCAACAAGACCTGACATACTTAAGGACTTTTATGTCAAAATTTCCTTTTTTTTTTTTTTAATTTTGAATTCATAAAAAAATGTTATTGGTGCATGAGTTGTCGTCAAATACACAAAAATAACATCATAACAATGAGCAAGTATTGGGTGTTCATTTCGTGCAAGTGGTACTAATGAGTACACACAAGGGGAAGTTGGAGCTTCCCTTTGACTTGCGTTTTTTGTATCATTTCTTCGATTAAGGATGATAGTTGAAGAAACCCCTAAAAAAAAGCATGTGTTGATGAGTGAAGATGACCCCAACTAGAAGTTTTCAGGTTGCATTTTATGAATATTTTTAATTTTTTTATCACATTTTATATATTATTTACCAATATTTCACGTATATAATCGTAAAAGAATCAATCATTACACAATATCTTTGAAATGTAAGCATATATTTGTGGTGTGTTTTACTTCGAGTTTTATGATTTCATTTGTGGGATTTTACGATGTAAGGAGTCAGGATTGGAAGCTTCGAGTTTACGACATTCGAGGGAAAATAGATAAAAACATATGGATGATTAACTCATTAAAGGGGGAGAAATAACAAATAAAAGGCTTTAAAGAATAACAAAGGACTGGGAAAAGATGCAAGTTGTTCATTGTGCTCATGTAGAATAGATAAATATCAATCTACTAGGTTGCATGACAACGCAAAAACGACACATGGCAATGCACATGGTTATCTAGAAAGTATTTTTAGCATCTAAGCATTAGCTCATAATTTTAAAATTAATTAATATTTTTTTAACATTATAGGGTTGTATTTTCTCTGTAAGAAGCGATATTGAAGCTTAAGAAATTTATCTTTTTAATTTGTTGTAAGTCATATCTATTATGTTTTGTTAGTTTAATCTCGACTGAACTGGTGATTTAGTCGTTATGTGTGGCTACATCACTTTAATTCCAACATTAGGATCCTGTTTGAAACTTTAGGATGCTAGATTACTTTTGAACACTTAGTTTATATGAAATCTTGTGTTTAGTTCTACATTTAACTCACATACACATAACATCCCAAAAATAAACCATAATTTTTTTCTTAAATTAAAGTATGACATTACTAAAAAGATGTCTCATCAATACAACATCAAACATAGTTTCAATGAAGTCATTGTCAAATGTGGAAGCTAAATTCTTGTTTTGAAAAGAAAGTCATAAAAGATAAACATAAAGGGGATATCATTCCCCTGAGAATGTTCAGGTATCTCAATCAAATCAGCACCTTGCCCTTCGAACATTGAGAATGTTCAGGTATCTCAATCAAGTTAGCACCTTGCCCTTCGAACCCGAAGGACCTACAACTAAAAAGATAAAGTAGTATTTGTAAGTTTAAGGCTTTTAGTGAGAAAGCATAATACTTATTCATTATGTAGATCATAGGTATTTCACATCATAACATTCAATAACAAAACATTGTACTAGCATAAATAGCCCCAGTCAACTAGATTCCGTCTGAGAGGCTTGTCTTTAGTTGACCTAATATTGACAATTTCCCTTCGAGAGATTTATCATGGTCTTACATCATTTTAATTCAACTAGATTCCCTCCTAGAGGATTTTCTTTAGTTTTCATACATAAATCAAAGACTCCATATAATAAGTAAGTTCATGAGAACTCACCTGATTAAGTAAGTTCATGAGAACTCACATGATTGGAAGACAATATGAAAATCAACAACTCAAGCTAGATGTATTAAGTCTTCCCTAAAACTACATAATAATTGATCCTAATTTAATAATTAAGGTAAGCATATAATTCACACTTCCTTAACAAGTCTAGATCTAATAAAAGCTACTCTAGGAGCAAAAGACCATTTTGCCCCTCCAAGGCCTAATCTAGGCACAGTTGTTTACAAGTCTAAATTGGTCAAAAGGTTAATTGTGCACGACATCTCGTCGTGACCAATACATGGCTACAGTGCTAACTGATAGGTGACAAAGTAGTCGCGATCTTCTTGAAAGTCGCAACGCTACATAAACTAGATTCACTACGTGAAATTCACATATCGAATATCTTTAACCCAGTCTTAATCCTTTAAGACTTAAGCTCTAAACCTCATGAACTCATCAAAATATGGTCTTAATGAATAAAGTTTTCATCTTTATCAATTTGCATGTATGAAATACCATTAATCCAAGTATAGGTAAAAAATGGGACAAAAAATCTCATAACTTCATGCATGGACCAACTTATAAGATGAACTGTAACATTCTGTTTGAAATTGAGTAATTAAATAATAAACCCTGAACCCCAAGATCTAAATTTATATTTTATATTATTTTATAGTAGCACTAAAATCCATAATATTTAGCGGGATGTTGGTTTCGGGAGCCAAATGATATAATTTGGTTAAAGTGTAATTCCAGGATTTATTTTGTAAATATTTTCAGAAGTCAGGGGGTGTTTGGTAAAATATTGGACTTAAATTGAAAGGATTTTGGATTGTTGAGGGCTGAATGATAAAATATGTACTTAAGTTGAAAAGAATTTTGACATGGAGGGGTTGAAAGTGTATTTTTGAGCAAAGATTTCATATGAGCGGGCATATAACCCGTCACCCTTGCCCTCATAACCCTAACCCTAAAAATGTTGGTAGCCGCCACCTTTTCTCCAGCAATCATCTCCGCAGTCGAGCTCGCCGCCGCCTCCTTGTTATATCTTGAACCATCGTTGCTCCGGTCAGCGGCGAAGTTGAGGTCGCAAACCGCCAGGTTGAGGCCA